TAAATTGACGATTCTTTAAAAAAATTGTATTTTATACATAAATGGTCATGAACTTTCCAGCTGTTATTATTCCAAACTAATGGTGACAGCACTGGTAGCAGACAGGTGTGGGAGTAAATACCATGAGTGTTTCCTCAGTATTCCTGTAATAGTCCTTTTAATTCATTGCTAGACTCTTCAATGTGTGTCAAATAATGAGCTAGTTCTGTTCGGTAGCCCCAGTGTTCACTAGACTAGATTGCACAATCAAAATTATTTCAACCTTGACTTAAAAAACTAGATTTGAACCAGATCCGGCACTCTTTCCCTGAATCCTCAGATGAATTCCTTGCCCAATGCATCAAAAGTAAACCAGGATCTGCAATGGAGAATCAGTGGGGAAAGAGATTAAAGGCCGTGAGCCAAGGGCAGCCCTGGAGTATGGAAAATTTAGCATCCATTAAAGTTCCTCAGAATTACACCCGGTTATTGTGGTACTTGATTCAGCCCAACGTCTAATTCACCTAGGGTTACCATATTTAAAAAATAAAAAAGAGGACACGCCACAGGCCCTGGCCCCGCCCCTTTCCCACCCTCAGCCCCGCCCCAACTCCACCCCTTTCACACCCCTTCCCCAAAGTCCCCGCCCTAACTCCCCCTCCTCCCTCCCAGACATGCGAAAAGGGCTGCCCGAGCGCTACTGGCTTCACGGTTTGCCGGGCAGTCTCCAGACCCTCCGCCCCCGGCTGGCGCTTCCCCAGAACAGCTGGAGCCCAGGAGGGGAAGCGCCCAGCCGGGGGCGCAGGGTCTGGAGGCAAGGGGGCTGCCCGAAGCCGGTAGCGCTGGCTCGGGTAGCTTGGCTCTTAAATAGAGCCGAAGTCTGAGTCAGGGGAGGAGCAGAGCAGCCGCGGGAGAGGAAGTGCCCGGCTGGTATTTTTTCCGGACATGTTCGGCTTCTTGGCAATTCCCCCCGGACGGGGGTTTGATTGCCGAAAAGCCGGACATGTCTGGGAAAAACCGGACGTATGGTAACCCTAAATTCACCAGATAAAGCAGTGAGAAGACTCTGCCCCTTCCCTTTTGCTCAAACATCAGTGGGGGGAAATCTATACACAACAGTAGGATTATTGCAAAGAAACAGGATACCTACTTTCTAGGATACCTAGAAAGTATATTGTGTCCAACTGAAAGTACAGAGAGAGTTCCCGCAAGAAGAATTAATTTACCTACATTGGAATCTGGACAGGAAAGGAGGGTTCACACCCCTAACTTTTGCAAGAAGAGCCAGGATCTTTAACACAGAGAAAGAGTCAGCACCCAGGTTTCACATCTGATTTGAAAGATAGTTCTTGCAACAGCATAGCGTTTATAAATGCCTGGCTGCTGTCTCCTGCTCACATACTCAGGTCAGATTGATTGCTGGAGTTGGGGTTGAGAAGGAATTTCCCCCCAGATTCGATTGGCTGGGACCTGGGCAGGGGGTGGGAAGTTGCCTTCCTCTGCAGCACAGAGTGCAGTTCACCTGCTGAGATCATCTAGGCACATCTCACCAAATTATTCCCTGTCATTGCATGGACCTCAGACATTGGTGACAGTTTTGTAAAGGGACCACTCAGTGCACAAGAACACACTTTGCTTACAGTACTGCAGGCTGGGAACTTGCTGCTTTTCTCAACTATTTACAGACTAACTAAACAGGAAATAAGGGAAGCATGGAGTATGGCTCAGACCATAATACTCTGAGCCAGTGGCTCTCAACCTTTCCAGACTACTGTACCCCTTTCAGGAGTCTGATTTGTGTTGCGTACCCCCAAGTTTCACCTCACTTAAAACCTATTTGCTTACAAAATCAGACATAAAAATACAAAACGTGTCACAGAACAATATTACTGAAAAATTGCCGACTTTCTCATTTTTACCATATAATTATACAAAAAATCAATTGGAATATAAATATAGCACTTACATTTCAGTATACAGAGCAGTATAAACAAGTCATTGTCTATATGAAATTTTTGTTTCTACTCACTTTGCTAGTGCTTTTTGTGTAGCCTGTTGTAAAACTAGGCAAATATTTGATGAGTTGATGTACCTCCTTGGAAGATCTCTGTGGGAGTACGTGTACCCCTGGTTGAAAACCACTGCTCTTAGTAACCCAGTTAACCCCTTAATCAGGGCTGGTGCTACCATTAAGGCAAACTAGGCGGTTGCCTAGGGCGCCAAGATTTGGGGGCACCAAAAAGCGGTGCCCCCAATTTTTTTTTACAGCGTTCCTGGGCTGGGCTGCTGGCAGCTCGCTGACACATGCGGCTCAGACTCCCTCTCCCAGCGCAGCGTCCGCTCCACTTCTCCCGCCTCCCAGGCTTGCGGCACCAATCAGCTGTTTGGCACCGCAAGCCTAGGAGGGGAGGAGAATTAGAGCGTGGGTGGCGTGCTCGGGGAGGAGGCGGAGCAGAGGTGAGCTGGGGTGTGGAGCTGCCGCATGGCTCCTCGGGGGGGGGGGAGGGAGCTACCGTGGGGGAGGGCACCTCAGGGCGGAGTGGGGGGGGAAGCTGCTGCAGGGCTGGGGGAGTGGGGGGGCGCAAAGTGGAAGTTTCGCCTGGGGTGCGAAACTTCATTGCACCGGCCCTGCCCTTAATGACCACTTTACTACAGGCAGTTTGGTTTCTCCCATGACACACATTTTAGTTTCCAGAGGACTAAAACGTTATAGTCTAACTAAAGTCTTTGTACTTAATACAGAGGTCCCTGGGTAAAAAGTAATGGCCTGTGATATTCAGAAGGTCAAACTGGATGATCTGATGGTCCCTTCTGGCCTTAAAAATACATGGAACAATTAAGCCTCTTCTAACCCACTACGGAGTCACTGGTCTAGTATTAACTCAGAGAGAATCAGAATCAGTGACACCACTGGTTCTTTGTAGGCACCTACAAGTTCCTTGTAGGTCTCCAATCCAAGCATGGAATCCAGTCCCCTGACTTTTCATACTTAATGGGTTTATAACACAAGGTGGTCTGTCTGTAGACTCATTACTATTTCCCTGAAAGGCTTGCCTCCAGTTCAGTAAATATGGGAATACATCAGAGGATTTTTTTTACAAGTAAAATATTGGGTTTATGAACCAAGGGTCCAATCCTGCAAGGACCCCAATGATTCCTGAAAGGACCTGAACATCCTCATCCCACACTGAGCTCAGAGCTCACTCAGTTCACTGGCATTTTTTCCACTCTTGGTTTAGCTTAGTTGCAGTTTCATTGGTGGCAGCAAAACTGGAAGCACTAGCACAGACAGGCATTGGCTTTTTATCATCTTGGAACATGACATGGCAATAAAAAAATACCTGCACTCTGCCCATGCTAGCGTTTTTCCCATTGTCTGTCTAACACTGGTAAAGCTCCACCACTAGGAGTTCTAGTGGGGACAAAGCCAGTTTGAGATATTCAGCAACTCACAGGATGTACTCAGATTCTTACTGGATCATGCCCCAAATCTCTGCAAATACTAGAGTTTCTCCATTTCCCCTCGTGGTTCTGAAACACAATAATACATGCAATCGGCACTTACAGCAGTATCTTCGAAGCGGATGATTGCCACGTCCACACCCCCAGACACACTAAGGCAGTTCACTTTGGAAAGTGGAATCCGGTGCTTGTACTGCACAAAGGGATTTCCATTTACAGCAACCTGTCATGTGTAAAAAGCAGAAGTTATCCTTTTGGAATAAAGGATAATGTCTCATGCCCATAAGAAAATGTAAGGTTTTACAAAAATCTAGTGCAAACAATTTAAAATAAACCAACACTTCCTTGCAGCTTTTTCAACTGCAAAACTGCAGCACTGTGCTAGTGCCTGAGAACCCAAAAGTGAAATTCACTAGAAACTGACTAAGAACTCAGGTAACACTGACTAGTCTTTGAATTATCTAAATGGATTAAGGCCACAATCCTGTAAACACATATGCGCATGCTTAACTTTACTCATCTGAGCATTCTCATTGAAATCAATGGGGCTTCTCACAAGTGTAAAATTAAACATGGGCACAAGTGTTTCCAGCATCAGGGCCTAAAATGCAAAAGTAAGCAGAGTTTTAGTCCATTCCCATTCCAATAAATGGAAAGACTCCCATTAAAGATTCCCTATAAAAGGGAATTGTTTTAATATAACTCTTCAGATGTGAGAATGTTCCTTGATTCAGCAGAATACCCATTTTATAATGAATTTGCAAGTACAATACAGCATTAACAATTACCTGGAATGAGTCGTGTTTTACCAAAACCCGAATCTCAAAGGGGTAACCTTTTAAAAAAGGCATTTCATCTTTCCTCTCCTCTCTTCCCCAATTCTGACTTTCACAAGTATTGCAAACCACACATCCACCCTCTTCAAATCGTGGGTTAAAATGAAAAGCAATATCAGGACTTGGGCAGGATCCACACTGAAAGTCTATCTTGAAGCTGTGAAGGAAAAAAGTACAAAGATGAACTAAACTGAGCATGGTTATGAAATCTAGGCTATGGCTACACTTGCAGATGTAGAGCGCTGGGGGTTAAACCAGCCCTCGGAGACAGCAGCAGGGAAAGCGCTGCCGTGTGTTCACGCTGTCAGCTGCAAGCGCACTGGCATAGCCACATTTGCGGCACTTGCAGTGGCATTCGGAGTGGTGCATTATGGGCAGCTATCCCACAGAGCATCTCTTCCCATTCTGGTGCTGAGGCTTGTGGGACAGGAACAGGGGGGAGGGGGAGGCCATGGGGCATCCTGGGTCTTGTCCCAATGCCCCATGATGCATCACTTTGCATCCCAGCAATCCCTGTTCTTCCATCCACATTTGGCACCATCTTTCAGTGGTTTTTGTACTGTGCGCTCTGTCTTCCCTTTTGGTCTGCAGGAATGGATCCCGAACTGGTGAGGAATATGCTGATGGGTCTCGCCAGCACGTCACGAATTGCAGTCGAGTTACTTCTTAAGCTACAAAGTGACAGTGAGGAGTCCGACGGTGATGTTAACATGTATAACGCATATGACACGAGATTGCTTGTGGCATTCACAGACATACTCACCACCATGGAACGCCACTTTTGGGCTTGGGAAACAAGCACTGAATCGTGGAATCACATTGTCATGCAAGTCTGGGATGATGAGCAGTGGCTGCAGAACTTTCGGATGAGGAAAGCCACTTTTATGGGCCTGTGTGCTGAACTTGCCCCCACCCCGCGCTGCAAGAGCACGAGATTGAGAGCCGCCCTGCCGGTGGAGAAGTGGGTAGCTATTGCAATCTGGAAGCTGGCTACTCCAGAAAGCTACCGATCGGTCGCTAACCAGTTCGGAGTGGGCAAGCATACCGTTGGAATTGTGTTGATGCAAGTGTGCAGGGCCATTAATTGCATCCTGCTCAGAAGAACCATGACTCTGGGCAACGTGTGTGACATTGTGGCTGGCTTTGCACAAATGGGTTTCCCTAACTGCGGAAGGGCGATAGATGGCACGCACGTTCCAATTCTGGCACCAGACCACCTAGCCGCCGAGTACATAAATTGGAAGGGGTATTTCTCGATGGTTCTCCAGGCGCTTGTGGATCACCGGGGGCGTTTCACAGACATTAACACAGGCTGGTCCAGAAAGGTGCACAATGCATGCATCTTTCGGAACACTGGCCTGTTCAGGAAGCTGCAAGCTGGGACTTTCTTCCTGGACCAGAAGATCACCATAGGGGAAGTCAAAATGCCCATTGTGATCCTTGGAGATCCCGCCTACCCTTTAATGCCATGGCTCATGAAACCATACACACGGAGCCTTAACAGCAGCAAGGAGCAGTTCAACAACAGGCTGAGTCGGTGATCTTTGGCCGTTTAAAGGGCCGCTGGCGCTGTCTGTATGGGAAGCTGGACCTGGCCGATAAGAACATCCCTATGGTTATATCCGCATGCTGTACCCTCCATAACATTTCTGAAGGGAAGCATGGACTGCAGAGGTTCAAAGCCTGGAGGCTGAATTTCAACAGCCAGAGAGCAGGGCTATTAGAGGTGCACAGCGCAGGGTTGTAAGGATTAGGGATGCCGTGAGGGAGCAATTCGATGCTGAAAGCCACCAGTAATGTTTGGTGCCCTGCACAGGAGTGGAGTGAATCGACGTGGTTCCAATGCTAGTAGGCATCTGTGTTGGCTATGTATGATGCACTGACTAGCAGTGACTCTTGCTTTCCTGGGCTATGCTATCTTTTACTTAATGCAATAAAGAATGTTTCCAAAGCCAAAAAAATCATTTATTCAAAAGAAACACAACTGCTGGAGAAACACACATGGCATGACACATCTGTGCTGTGTGGGAAGAGGAAAGGGGGCGTGGTGGGTAACAGAACAATCACAGATTTGTGTATGTCCCGTTATCATATTCAGCATTCCTGTCTGGCGTGCCATACAATGAATGCTGCACTGCAGGCTGGCTAAAATGCATGGTGATGGGGGTTGAGTGCAGTGGGTAAAGGTCGTAGTTTGCAGGGCCGGGCAGTGAAGCTAAAGGTGTTGGAGGCAGGTGGTGGTAATAAGAAACCAGATGTTGGGGAAACTGGGTTGGCAGTGACATGGGAGTGCAAGGGAAAAGAGTTCTGGGACAAGAGCTGCAGGGATGAGCGGGCGCGGATCTACTCTGTATGCAGTGCTACGAGCGCCTGCATCGAGTCTGCTTGTGCTCAATAATGCTTAGGAGCCGCTCCATGGTTTGTTGCCGGCGATTTGCATTCTCCTGGCGGACCCTCCTTTAGTTTTTGATTTTCAGTAAGGGACTGCTGCATGACTTCATGCAGAAGGTCCTTTTTGCTTCTTCGCAGCTGCTTCCTAACTCTTCGCAGCCTTTCGGCCATTGATAACAAGGACAGCTGGGATCTCAAGGTTGCATCTGTAAAGCCAAAATGCAACATTTAACAGAGCAGCATTGTTAACACTAGACAGAGGAATGATTCAGCTGAACTTAAAGACAAGCACAGTGCACACAACAGCACAAGCTGTCTGTCCCAAGGCAAGCGCACGTAACCCAAAAGAGCCCCGAAATGGTGAGTAACCACAGAGGTGGGGGGGACTGATTGTTCCAGGACTGTACTGTCCTCTGGGATCCTGTGTCTTGGGGAGAGCCAACAGCTGCAGGGGGACCCTATACTCAACACTGTCCCCACATTTTCAAGAGGATGGTTTTGTGCTGGCAGATATCTCGCTGCTGAAGGTGACCTCGGAAGCAAGGGAGGGTCTTCTGCAACAATGCGGCTTCCGTCCTGGCCCTTATGCGGCTTGCATGTGTGCAGCAGTGGTCCACACACACACACACCCCCAGCACAGTGGCGCGGACATGTTAGCCTGACTGGGACAAGGAGCACAGTAGATCCGCCAAAGAACCTGCGCAACTGGATTGCCCAGCTTCTGCAGGAGACCTTCGATGAGATCACTGAGGCTGATGACCGTGATGTGAGAGAGCACATCAACACCCTATTCTGCATCTAGGCATGCACGCAGCCCGAACTCTTCTTTTTGCAACTCTCCTCACCCCAACAGCCCACACCCAGCAGCTCCCTTTTAAAACTAAAAGCTGCTTACCGGGCACCTCCTTTGCTGTTTGTTCTTCCTCAAGCACCGTCCGCTGTGACTGGCTACCTTCATTCTGGCTTGAAAACAGCTTCTGGCTGCATGCATCTAGGGATGCCGAGCCGTCCTCTGGCTCTGGGCCCCCCTCCTCCTCAGCACCCTCGCTCCTGTTTTCCTTCTCCTGCCTTGTTGCACTCTGGGCTGCCACGGCCTCTGAAGTGTCCATGGTGCTCTTCGCAGTGGAGGCGGGGTCACCCCCAAGTATCTCGTCCAGCTCTTTGTAGAACTGGCAGGGCGTGGGGGCAGCACCAGAGCGGTGGTTTGCCTCCTGCCCTTGTGGTAGGCATTCTGCAGCTCCTTCACTTTAACCCTGCACTGCAGTGCATCCTGGTCATGGCCCCTTTCTATCATGGCCCTTGATATCTGCCCGTAGGTATCGTAATTCCTACGGCTACAGTGCAGCTCGGACTGGACAGCTTCCTCCGCCCATACCCTGATGAGGTTCAGCACCTCGCCATTGCTCCATACTGGGGACCGCCTGGCGCGTGGAGGTATGGTCACCCGGAAAGATGCGCTGAGAGCACTCCATGCCTGCTGAGCAAACAGGAAGGGGACTTTCAAAATTCCCAAAGAATTTAAAGGGCGGGTCTGGTGGTTGGTCACCTGAGGGCAGGGCAGTAGAATTCAAAGTGATGACCAGAGTGGCTAGAACAGGCATTGTGGGACAATTCCTGGAGGCCGATCAGAGCGCATTCATAGACCAGGGTGTCCACGCTGGCACCGCGGCACTCCAGCAGGGGCGCAGCAAGCTCTTTGCTTCTCATGGAGGTGGATTACCAGGGGCACTCCAGCTGCCGCGTCCAGGCGCTCTACGTCCCTTACCAAAGTGGACACCTCAGGAGTAATGGCACCTGGGGCTGATTTAACGCGCTCTAACTTGCAAGTGTAGCCAACCCCCCAGTGTGCTTTCACTGGTATCCAAAATAGTCTTTATGGAGGCGTCTGCTCCCTCTCAAAGATGTCTCTTCTGTCATTACAACATTTCTGCACAGAAAGTCTAAAGCAACACAGTAATTTATGATCACAATCTAGTCTATTGTGAAAACAAACAACAAAAACCTCACAGTGTTCAGACTTAGTAGCTAAGCTTAGTAGTTAACTGATTTTATCCTGCCGAAAACCAACTAAGGTTATGATCCTCCAAACGCTTAATTCTGGGCAGAGACTTTTTTTTACCATGACTGGTCCCACTGAAGTTATTGGAACTAATCATAATGGTTAGGACTATTCCCGGTAGTAAATATTTGTAGGATCAGGGCTCAAACGAACAACTTGAATATTTACAATGCATGTTTCAATGCTACTGAGCCTATTACCAGTGTTTTAACTGGCCTTCCTTCTGAGATAACCGCATGACTGGCACAT